AGTAGTTCATCGTAAACGGTTTCCTCTCCGGCGTAAATCACGCTATATCTTTTCTTTTACCGACAAGTGTCTCGCAGAATGAATATTCGAAGAGCGTGCGACGAGTGTTTTTTTTTTCAAATCAATACGGTCGTGTGAATAATCGTATCGCGATAATTATAATTATCTTCGTTTCTGCATCAATTCACAATTCGAAAGATACTGCGACAAAACATATTATATCGCCCATTGCATAATGTAGTTTGCAGCGGTGTTGATTCGGTCCCAGCCGAATGGAAAAATTTATTATAATTTAAATGTAACTTATGAATTTTGAGCGCGTACGAGCGGTTCGACAGTAATACAATTTTGAATTAACCTTGTTATCGCGAGCATGATGCAACACGTGTAAATGAGCGGCACGTAGTCTATAATTATGCAACCTGCGTGCCGCTCGTAATTAGGACACGTTTCTTGCAAGTTGTTGAACACTGACGTGAGCTTTAATTAGCTATGTCGTTCTCGAGCGCTTATTGTGCTCCTTCCAATCATAACGAAGACCCTTCGTCGCGCTTCGTATTCGGCGGTATTCCACTTTACTAAGTAATCGCGACAATTTTTATGAAAGGCGATTCGAGATATGCTTAAATATCTTCTCGTTAAATTTACGTAATTAGACTCATCGGTGCCGATCCCAGTGCAAATTTGAGAAAAAGAAATCGTAGTCAATAAGAACTCTACCCAAACGATCGCGCGATCTTCGTGAGAAAAGACGACATGCTAGATTCGGTGCGCTCGCGAGCGACAACTAGTCGCTTGCCGATGATTATTGGTAATTATCACGACGCGCGAGCAAAACCTCTAATCGGGTCGGATTGTTCCCGAGCCGGCCCTGACATTACGGCGCAAACGAGACACTCCTTCGTCAGTTCGTCAGAGCATTAGCGGATAATCCCGATGCGCTCGATGACGATGATCAATTAATCGCTACGACGCGTCCATGGTTGTATCTTGTTAACGTCATGTTTGTGCAAACGCGGCCGCACATCGATCGTTCGGACGGAATGTTAGACGACAGTTCGCAATTACAGCCGATTCGCCCCGATAGGATCGATATTTAATAAGTTAGACTGTCGAAATTGAATCGAAGTTGAACCGAAGGCCGGCCGGCCGGCCGGCCGGCGGCCGCCAACCACGAAACGTCGAGGTGAGTTTTTAACTCAATTAATCTCGAGAGCACGATCTTTCTGAGCCACAGCCTTTCGACTGTCCGACGGTTTAACACACTTGGTGGTGTGTTTTAGCGGGTTCTCGCGCGAGCACGGCGGACATAGCGGTACAGATTTTCCTAAATTGTAAAACTCTTTTAAAACGGTGGCTTTAGTCAAATTAATGAGATCAAATTTAATGAAATTAGGCGGCGGTTGAATTTTTGTGCCTTTAGCAAGAGCATCTTTGCTCGAGAATCCCTTATATCTTCCAATCCTTCATCTCCTCCTCTTTTCTCCTTTTCATCACCGTCATTACAATTAAATCGAAAGGTCTCGGAGAGCTGTTTGCGTTCACGATCGTTGATGCTGAACGACAGGCATCCGCTGCGATTCACCCTGACGATCCTCGCATGCGAATAGGCGGCGAAAGGCAGGATTAGGACGCAGCAAGCGGGCATAGTCGGAGGCTAGATTAATTCGTACACATCAGAACGAAATTACGCGCGCGGCTAGTACGATAACACTTAATTAAGTGCTTCTCCTCGCGCGTTTCGGATTTCTCATGCTAATACGAGGACAATACTATTACCGGCGGCGCATGAGAACGGTATGCGGCTGACCACGAACGTCCAGGCGCGTCGAAGGCGAAGATGTTGACTACGGCGTGGCCACGCGATATGCAAAGCACGAGAAACGGTACGCGAGGGGAAGGGGAAGCTCTGTCGTGGCTGCTCGTATGGCTGCTGTCTGCAGCGATTCGAAGCTTTCGAACCTCTGTCTTGCAAATTTCCCAGTTCAATTAAATGAGCGATTTGAATCACCTTTTAAACGGTCATTTCAAACTGCGAGTTCTACTTTCGGAGCTACTTTAGAAAAATAATCATTCTGCAGAAAGAACCATTCTGCAAAGATACAGATATGTACTCTGATATAAGTAATTAGTTAGTGTTTAGTGAAAAATGTAGATCTGACTGTTCCCGAAGTAAATACGTGTCGTGTATAAGTTATATTTCGCTAAACAATTTCAAATAATTCGATGTGTTTTGAGCTCGTCACGCCGCGCGCGCGAGTCAGTAGTACACTAAATTATAAATCCGACATTTCCGTCGACCACTCCCTACCCTTTCGATTGTCATCGCATCCTTGGTTACGACCCTTACGTTACGCCCACGTCGTTCCGTGACACAACTCTGAGCCATTTCTCCAGAGTAAGATGAGCGTGAGGATCGTTGAGAAAGACGTTACTCTCGCCCGCTAAAGTACAACATTGCAACGTAACGCGCAAGATGAATCTACGAGAGAGAGAGAGAGAGAGAGAGATCAGGTTACTTGCATCCATCCTACTTTCATCCAAATTTGCTGTTAACCTTAATATGTATATATTTCCATTAATATAACTTAGAAACAACAATTACAAAATCGCATTTCGCGATCATCTCACATTGATATCATAATATAAACTGCACAGCAAATTAATGAATCCTTTTGTTAACAAATAATTTCTTTTTTCGCGAGGTAAGAGTTCCCCGTAAAAGTACGATTCAATATCAAATAATATATATATATATATAATTATTATCCTAAATGATTTGACTAAAATGAAAATAAAAACGTCATTTGTAGGGTATTTTCTCAAGTTCGATTACGCGTAGCTCAATCTTGGTAGTTTCTTGACGAAATCAAATTTATTTCCCACCTCTATAATTTTACTTCAGAGGGTCCGCCCGTGATAAATAATTGCCAAGGGCGACGGTCCTACCCTAAAACCGATTCTCAGTAAAAAGAAACGAGGGGAATGGCGTATCAGACGCATGTGAAACTGCGGGGAATCGAACCTGGCAATTTTTATTCTTACTTACCAGTGGGGAGTCTACAGAATTACGGACGTTATGCGCCATTATCGGCAAATCTCTCCCTTCTATCCCGCCCGTTCCGTTATATCCCTTCAGCTCGTTAAAACTTCGATGGAGTCACGTTGCTCCGCTCACGCAAATAGCATGGAACGAGTAAACTTTCAACTTTTCCCACGCGGTTTCGATAGCAGGTTTTTCAATCGCATGATCTTCTCTGATATTCCGGCATTATTAATTTCTATGAATTCTTTGATCAACTCGATAAACTGAATTTCCGTATACACGAAAGTGAAAATGAAAGACCGACTCGTAGATTTATTCACGACATCACCGGAATAAATAGATTTCACGTTTGAATTCCCAACATTTGCAACATACTGCAACTGCAGCTCAAGATTCATCCACGACTATACGCTTTGCTTTCCAAAAAAACACATTGAACATTCTTAATCACTTAAAAATCTCAGTATAGTGAATAAAAAATATTTCTAATTTCATCTTCCAGAAAAAAATTTGTGGAAAATACAAATAAATTAAGAAATGATAACTGACGTCTTTCATATCTCATTAACTTATAGGTAAATTTTTTATAAACAAGGCAACATGGCACAAGTGGCTGAAGAAAGCCCAAGTACAGTTAAGCCCGGTGCGTGTTTCAATTGCATAAAAACAGGAAGTACACAGCGCGAGGGCGAGTATACGCGGCTAAGAAAATCCCCGTGCGACACGTAAGATCGAACGAAGGGTGAAACGAGGTCTCCTAGCTCATCCCATTCCCAAGTAATTCCCAGGGCTTTCGCGTGGACACGTCGCGCGAGTTCTCGTCCATTAGAACCCGATGGGATCTGCAAAGGATCGGTAGACATACCCAGCAATAACGGGAACGTCCATCGAATCCGCACGGCTAATGGTGCGAGAGTTTATCCAGATGTTGCGAAATCCTTAGAGCCGATAGCTCAGGATTGGCTCGGTCACGTCGGCCTGTATTTCCATCGTCGAAGGGCTCTTAATCGCGACGAGACACGACATTGAGTAACTTTGGCTCCGCATGGCTGGATTACGGATACAAACATGAAGAGAGACATGCTCCCGCCGCACTCGAAATGAAACGATTAAGAACCAAAACTAGAGATACTAAATTCGCTTATTTTTCAAGTTTCTCGCTCTTTGCGACTGTGACACGTGTTCACACAGTGGAAGCAAAGCTTGCACTCTTCGCCGTCGCGGTACTTGCGGATGGGATTGCACGAATTCACGTAAAATACTCGTCCCGAAAAATATTTCTGGAATCAATATATTTCTATAAAAGCGATAACGTTGTAATGCAAAGACTGGGTGCGAAAAGCTATCCTATTTAATCACACCGACGATTTTATAACACATCTCTGTACGCCTCGATGTCGGTTTTCCTCAAATTTGCCGTTTCCCAAATCGTGTTACTTCTCGTGTTGGATCGAAATGAGAAAGAAGTATCGATAATCAGATAACGGTAAATTGCAAACTTCAGTTCAGTTACGCGCGAGCGCGTCAAGCTCACTAACGGCGCGACATTGTTATCCTAACAATCGACGCAATTGCCGCTCGTATTTATAGCGCGAGCGTGAGCGTTAATTATTTTTCCTAGAGTTCGCGCCGATTTTCAGCTCTCTCTCTCTCTCTCTCTCTCTCTCTCTCTCTCTCTCTCTCTCTCTCGCTCGCTCGCTCGCTCGCTTATAATAAATCCGTGGCGGGGAGAAGCGTCGGGAAGCTGTGTGGAGTTATGGCGCTACAGAACGTGACTACGTCCCTTTCAAAGCGCGACACGTGCGCGGCCCAGCGTATTCTCCCGCCTGCGTTCCTGACGCAATTTCTATCTACGAAAATATCCGCGAAAATTGCGTTCGCTATCGCGACCACATTCGCCCGAAATGCCATTCGCGCAAATACCATTCACGGTCCCCGCGTTTCATTGTTGCAGCGCGCGGCTTCGGCATGAGAGTGGTGGGCGGTAAGACAGGATCAGACGGCCGCACCTTCGCGTGTATCGTTTGGACCGTACCGGGCGGCCCCGCCGAGAAGGCCGGCTTGCAGCAAGGCGACAAGGTGAGTGCGCACGTCTCAAATCTAATTATCTAATTACCATCATCTAAAACGAGCCCGGCGACCGACTCCGCAACTCGCGGCGAGCACGCAACTCGCCACTTTTTTATAGCTCGCCAGGTTTATGCTACTAAAACTACTACATAAAACAAGAACAGAAGCTCTTTTATATGGTATGAACGAATGACGGTGGTGAGTTTTATTTTTAAATTTAGTACTTGATTTCATGTGTGACCTGTAAACAATTGCGGTTTGTCACAGCGGATAATTCCCCAGGTCTGGTCTAGGACCTCTACCAGCGTAACCAGCTGCGACATTGTCGCAAGAGACGTAATCTCTTGTCTCTCGCGTATGAAGAATTATAAAACTAAATATTTATTTTATATCCGTCGCGCCTGTATATTTCGAATTCTTTCCCGACAATCGTAAGGAGCTTGAGGAAATTGTCGTTCCGTCCTTCGATCGCTACGTTTGAGCTCGCGAGTCGCTCGCGTTTTATGATTTTTTCAAGGGGCTGAATTTTGTCGAATAGTGTTATTGACATGGTCAATCGATCGGACGTCTGTCCGTTGCGGGCTGCAACTGCTGCAATTGTAATGTTAACCTTTTCCGCACCACGTTCGGCTCCATCGGGTAATCCGGTTTGCATTTTTAAAGTACGATAACTCCGGCACAGAGTATCGCTGGTAACGTTTGTGAGTTTCGTGACTTCGCTCGCCGGGCTTCTCTCCATTTTTAAATTCGTATACCCGCAAAATATGGACCGCCGTCGCGTGCAACGTAATATTCAACATAAGCAACCGAGCGGAGGATATACATCGCACGGAGGGGAAAATATTTTCCCGGTGACGGTTTATCGTTACCTGTCGTGGCTATTATTGTAAACGGCTAATACGCGAAAATATCGACTGCTACCGATGCATTGATTCTAATTGAGTTACTTGACAAGCGCGCACGCTTGCGGACCGGGCAGCTTTCCGCTCGCTTACGCATTCGCTCGCGAATCGACGAATTTTATTTCGCGTCGCACGGCCGACGCATTAAAGCTTCATTACGCATTAATTCACGATCAATTTTGTTACGCACGCAAGCTCAGATCTGCAGTGCTTTCTCGTCGCTTCGATTATTAAGCCATTCATGTCCACCGTCACGTTTACCGCAACGCGAAACTTGCGATGAAATGCACATTTCGGTATAATTGGATTAATATTAGCTGCTTTTTGTGATATATCGTTAAACTCCCGTCGGCGATGATCATCAGAATGTAAATAAAAAAAAATATCACATGTGAAATAACTAATTCGAAATAGCAAAATATTAAAAAAGAAGTGATGTTTGTAGCTTTCAGAGCGAAAACACTATTCAAGTGCAAAGAAAGTGCGCAAATCTCAACTAAACACAAATTTCGGGGGTAAATGGATTAAACAGCACTTAACGTGCGTGCGTGTGTATATCTCGGTGTATAAACATCATTCAAGTATAAACGTACGGGAAAAGACGGGAAATGTAGCCCTTTGAGCCCTATCTACCTGCTCTACAAGTCATCCCGTATAAAAAGGGCGACCTAGATGATCGATTGATCGGACCTGCGATGCCCTGATCCCTGTTTGCCGCCATTACATTTCCATAAAGAGTCCCTGACGATCGTTTAACGACGGAATTCTTTCTCTCTCTTGTGCGCGACGATGTTTAATAAAAAGCGACCAAATCGCATGATGATCACATTCCCCTAGGACCGGAAAAAATAATGCTCTCTCTCCTTTTCTCTTTCACCCCGAATCTGATATTATTCGAATGAATCTATTAAAATGAAAGCGCGAATAAATTTTGATCCAAATAATTCTTCTCGCCCTCACAAATAAAATGGATGTTATTCATGAATAACGAAGGCAACTTCCATTTAAATATACGTGAATTTTTTGACGATATTTTCACATATTTTCTACAAACATTTATGACTAAAATGAGAAGTGAATTTTTTGACGCATATCTTTTACAAAAATTTATGACTAGAATGAGGAGAAGTGAATGTGTTTTTCTTTTACTAGCAAGTAATTTCTTCTAACTTAAGGCAGACTGATAATCAACGATCAATAATCTCCTGAAAGTAATATTTCTGTCGATTTAATATTTTCACGAAAAAAAAGACTTCAACAAACCAAAATTAAATTTTGCATAATTCGACACGAGTAAAAAGAGAAATTCTCCCGCGCTCCGAGATTTTATAAATACATTTGATGTTTTATAAATAAATTTTATAAATAAATATAAATAATTTCCGAAAGATTCATGTTTTACTCAATTTAAATGAAAGTTGCTCAACTCTGACCTTTCACGTAACTGACCTCCCTTCCTTTCGAGAGAAATATCGACGTGGGATTAAGAAAACCCCCGTGTCCTAAATCCCGCGACACGGACGGAAGACGCGAACAGCATGACAGACGTGACATACTTGTTGCTCGCAGAGCGAAAATCCGCGACGCGACGCGACGCGACGCGACGCGACGCTCTTGTGCACCTCGCGAATCGAGTAACACTTTGTTTAATCCGCTTACGTCCCGACGCATGTAAAATCGGAACGAGCGAACCTGATGGCAGCATTCGCTCGGATGACGACACGCAACGACCAATTCGGCTGTCGAGCTCTGGAATAGACAAGCCGAATGCCAGAATCCCGGCATAACTTGTCCGGTTGTGCTCTGTTTCTACTATTTCGGCCGCGACCTCGCAACGATCGATCCCCTCTTCGTTCAGGAGAACAACTGTCGCGCGCGTTGGGTGTGATCTTTACTGGATCCGTTGTCATTAGCACGAGCAATATTATGGTTCAATTAGAAGGTGATTTAATAGGCAAATATACGAATCGCTGCACGAACTGATGTTACGTACGCGGCTGTTCGTGTTTCCACAAATATTCCGGGAATGTTTCAAAGTAATTAATTCTGATCCTTCTCAACGCATATTAATTCAGTCCAATTATCTAATACCAATTATTATTATTACCACCGTATTTAATTATCAATATTATATTAATATTTTTAGTCTCGATACGATTTCAAGGATCTCGCGCCGCATTGCCGCATCAACGCATTAATATTATTCTTTTGTGTATGTTTTACAATTATGCTTATGTTCGTGGAAAAAAGGGAACGTATTGTTACACAGAGTGCTTAATTTATTTTCGCTCGACCGGACGAACATGCGAAATAAAGGTGTGATTTATGATACGGTTTTATATTATTTAATAATCGTCTATTTAAAACGCAATATAAACTTTCGCAAAAAACGAACTCCCTTCACTCGATACATACGATACGTGATGAGATTAAGTTTATCCTTCCTGCACTCGAGTCAGTAGTCGTGTATATGAGTCTAGATTCGGCGGCTTATTTTACAGCCTGAATCGAGCGATTGTCGATTTAACGATGAGTTAGAAATACTTTATCAACTTTCTGAAACTTCGACTAAAGACCGAATCACACACAGAGAAACGTCGTTTGATGAAAGCGCTAAGAATACATGCCTCGCGATGTCGCCAAATGTCCTACAACTATCGGCTCTTCGGTAAACTTCAAGTTTTTCTTAGACTTCTCGTCTCCTCGACGAGAAAGTTCAGAGAGAAGTCATCGCGTTTAACAGATTTGTTGGGTCATACGCTCACGGATGCGCTTAATTCGACCGAAATCTATGAACACGGTTCCTAAAGCAGTCTGCAGATCTGGTTGCGCGGAAGGAGAGCAACGAGATCTGCAAGGAAACGAGATCGAGAAAGGAGAGACCCCGAGACGCGAAAGCGAAACCAGTCTCGCCACTCTATCCGTCGCTCGAGCTAAAGAGCAGTTAGCTGGAAGGACTCCAGATGTCGGCAGGAAATCGAATTCTGTGAAATTTAAGAAAGAGAGGCGCGTCCCCTATACACGTATAGATTCACGGTTTTACACACAGCGAACTTATCTTTTGCCCACCTTCGACGCTACGCCCTCGTTAAATCCCGAAGATAATTAAACTTTTTCCTGTTAGACGAACCCTCTAGAAGATCAACCGCCAAGATCGCGTTTCGATAGGAACCGAATTCTAAGCAGGATCTTGCTGCCGCGTACACTGCGAGATTATATGTCTTAATTGCCACTTTCCGAATTTCTTCAAGAGTCTGCGGCAATACCCGCGTCAAAAATATCTTTGATCTCAAAACCGAGCGAAAAAGATAAAGAGAAGAGAACGCGAACGATTTTTGTGTAACACGTTTGTTTATAAACAGACTTTTTTCAGCGTAAAACATTTTAATATTTAATTAATTAAAAATTAATTTGCTTAATTAAAATTAAAATCAGAAAAATTATTATGATGTTTAATTTAAAATTCTCTTCGGGTATCCTTGACGAATTTCAAAACATTTCCCGCGTTATATTTGATTTATTAATATTCATTTTTAACGAGATTCTCACGTATAAGTTACAAAATGAGAATTAAAATCTCATTATATATAACGGTTTGTTGTCGAAAGGATTTTAATAACGTCTACGTATAATTGTGCATGGAAATATGACGTGAATCAGATGCACGTTTTTATATATCATTTTCTCCTATCACGAACATAAACATAAAAATATTTTACCATGTCTTGTTGGTTAAACACGTTAAATAACAGCTAGTCAAAGAGAGGAAAAAACGGAGAGAAATGGAGTTAAAAGAACATCCTGTCCGTCGAGGGATCAAAGTAACTAGAAGAGCCTTGAGAGGAGCTAAGTTTTTACTAAATCGGTCCTACTAAAACGAGAACGTAATTACATATTGATCTTTCATTTTGTATCGCGCCGATAAGAACATCGTAAACGGTTTTACTGCGCGTCTCGCGCATTGAATTTAAGATAAATGCCAACCTTTCGTCACATAAGAGACTGCCTCATTTTCTCATTGTCAGTTATGCTAAAAGATTTGTCTTGATAAGACACAAAAAGTGGAATATTTAGTATAACAAAGTTATACAAGTTACTACCGCCTAA